TAAAATAGAAAATACTAGGTTTGTTAACAAAAAGCTCTTTTGGTCATGAGCAGTCATATAACTCACGTTAATTACTGCCCTATTTTCTGCGTGTTCCATTTCAGCAGTATTTTGCTGTAGTCCTGATGGTTTCAGGGCATAAATGTAACGAAGTTTCTAGGCAGAGGGGTCATCTTTTATTAAATGTACCTGTTTATCTAGAAAATTAAGACAACCTTCTGGATGGACTGCATACCAATATAACACTGACTCAATAGAAAGACTGTTTCTATGGCACATAACTTTCACCCAGTTTCCTACAGGGTTTTAACTCCCTCCTCCTTTCTCCTAGATGATGAGTATTTTCATAATACTCTCTCCCTTCCCTGCGTAACATCCCCTGTACTCCCAGGATGCCACTAACCTTCTCTTTGAAGATGGTCTACTTGATACATACCCAACCAAACTCCAAGCGGGTGTTCTGTGTTTAGCTTGGGAAGTTGCTGTTTCATTTTCAGATTTGAAGAGAGACTTATAATGCTTGAAAGTTTATTTGATTTTTTTGAGCTGTACCACTTAAGTGACACTGTCCATACCTGTAAACCTTGTCTCATTCATACAGAAACTATCATCGGTGTCTCAGCCTTTACTGCCCTTTTCTCGTTCTTTCACTAACTCAGAAAAGCATAAATCTGAGGAAGGAGTAAATAAGGCTGTCGTGATAAACACAGTGCATCCTTGTGAACACGGGTACGTAGTGCTACAAGCATGCCACCACTGTAAGGGCAGACAAGTAAAAAAACTATCTTGCTTAAAACCGCGTAGAAGGTTTCACCTCTAGGTCTGTGGATGTCTGCAAAATGAGGTATCTTTTTAAATTATGTCAGATTTTATGTGATTCACGTATTAGGCGGGTTGTTCATGGACGTGCGGTATTTTGTCTGTTTAAAGAAAATTAAGGACATACAATACACAACAAATAATTTTTCTCTGTTTAATAAATGATAAAAGGACAGATACGATACTAGAAGTCTCTCTTCATGTGGTAAATCCTAGCAATGGCCTGCAATGCTTTACAGAAGGATTTTTCTTTTAATTCCCCAAAATGCTCCTTATCCACAGCAGGGTCTTACCATCAGCAAGGACAATTTTTTTTCCTGAGTCAGCCAGCACTTATATCCTGGGGCAGGGTGATTACAAACCATGTAACTACAGATATTGACCCCTCCCAGAATGATGGATTCTGCAGTTTAATGACATATTACTCACAAAACAGCTTCCTCCTATCCATTTCACATTCGTTTCCTGAATCAACAGTGATGCGTTTTTATTACAACATAAAATGCATGTTATTAGATGGCACAACTATATAGCTTTCTGGCTAGAGTTTGGGAAGGAAAAGATTTCTGATCCCTGTTTGCACAACTGGGTACTTTGCATTAAAATTGTAACATCAGGCAAAACACGTAACAGAAATAAACATCTAAAATACATAAGGAGACCATTCTGACGACTGTGTTCAATACCAGACTATGGAGTCATTCTCTTTGGAACAGACAGAACCTCCATCCTCTGCTGTAGAGGAGAAAACATCTCCACGTTCCCCTCCCACCACACCAGACTGGCGCTCAGCCTGGTGGTTAGGGTGTGTGTGGGGAAAAAGAGGGTTTGAATCCCCCAGGCAGTTCAGCAATGCAGCAGGAGCCAATGCAGCTTCCCGGGAGAGGGGAAGGTTTGGTAAGTCAGTCTTCTGACTGGTGACCTCTCCGAGTGGCTGAGCAGGTCTGGTGAGTACCAAAGCTGACTCTCGTGGAGGTGGGTAAGAGTGAAGAAGATAGGAGGAGCCTGGGACTCTTCCCTGTTTGATCATGAGAGGCTAATAGATTACCTAATTGAGCCTCTTTAAGTTGCAGGTGTGCTCTGCAGTGAGACAAGACCTGCTGTTCATGGATACGAATTCTGCTGCGAGGGCCAGGTACGTGTCACAACACGAAGTGTTGCAACTTTTATGGCTTTCTGCAGGTCTAAATAAATAGCCAATGTCTCCATTCTGTTTTCTTGGAATGCTTAAAAAATATGTTCAAAACCCTCCCAAATTAGTATTTCTATTAGCCTTTCTAATCCAAAATTAATACATTTATGAAACTACTAATACCTTGCTAAAGCAAGAACTGAAGTTATTACCTAAAACAAGCATTCCACTTTATGTAAAACATGAAAAACAGTCTCACTCCTCTTGAAATCTGCAACATCTAGACATCTAAGTTATCCCAAGTTTTTTCTTAATCTGAACCTTTTAATGCACTAACTGGATTCTGAGATCGCTTTTTAGGAGCACTACCTCTTAGACAAAATGTCATGCTAAAGTACATGCATGTAGTGGTTTAGACTGCTCTCTTTCAAGAAATAACCTGTCCTATTTTATCTCCTTAAGATAGAAACAGTGAACCATCTTTATTATCCCTCCTAAGCTTCTTGCATGTTTATTACGAATCCTGAAATGAAGTGTGATCATAGTAAGACTCCCCATTTTCTCTTGGCTAAAGGAAAAATTAAAATTCTCTACCAGGATAACGGGGTAAGGGTAAAAAAACCCATGACACCAGCATACTGACGCCCATAGTAAAAGTCAATACACATCTGCTTTTTGCCTTTCTACAACATAACACATCTGTGTTTACTCTAAATCTAAAATCTAATCACATTTGGTTGGCGGGTTGGTAATTCTCTGAGACTGGCACAGTCTGGTTTGGAAATTCACATACTTTTATGATTACAGATCATCTAAAGCCTTCAATATGTGATAAATGTCAAGCAAAGTCAATTCTTAGCTCTCAGTTTTGACAGTTTCCCTTTTAATCTAGATTGCTCTGTAAAAGCAATTCCCTTTTTTTTTTAATAAAGCTAACAGTTAAAACATACTTCCCCATCAGGGACTGGAGGGATTCTGGTTCTTTAACAGATTTTACTTCAAAAGTGCAAGTGACAAAACCTGGTACCTCAGGATAATCCTGGCTCTCATTAGTGGACTGCCTGAAAATAAATCGGGTTTTGGGAAGAGTACAAAAGCCCCGTGGAAGAAGAGATGCTTAATATTTCAGCTGTTCACTGTCTGCTTTCTTGCAGAAAGTATCTTTGTGGTCACATGTGTTTGAAAGGATTAGGAGATGTAAGCGGTGACCCTCTGAGTGCTTCACACAGAGAATTGCAAGTCTGAGGGATTTTCAGTGCTCTGCGGCCTGCTGACGTGCAGTCTGATGCCAGAGCATGTTACCTACCTGTGGGATAGCTATTCCCAAATCAAACACTACCTGCTAAAACTCTTGTTCAGACCTGGCAATTTGTTGTAAACCGGCTGCTAGTTTTGTAAGAGCCTTGGTAGGGCTCTTGGGTAGGGTTGTGAATAAGCGTGCAAGTGGCTGAACTTGAAGAGCTCACCTCAGCAGTTCTTACCAGTAACTAGCCACCGACTGCACCGTATCACGATAACTATACTTTATGCAATGAAAGTGCCATTTAAATCAATTTCATGAGGTCTGAGTTAACAGCCCCTGGGAGCACATCATTACATCTTTTAAAGATATCATTCCAGGAAAGCCCTAGCTTCAGATGGGCACCGCTTCATCGGTTAAATTAATCTATTTTCAGTTACTGTCATAACCTTAAGGGATGAGAGAGGTTTTAAAAAAAAGTATAGTCCAGAGCACAATGACGTGATAGCTTTTTACTAAACTGGCAAATACATACGTATTTACATCTCCCTACTGTCATGCTGTATCAGGGTCCTGCTGTCTCTTTCAGGGCAGGTGGACTGATGAGAAACACAACTTGTTTATCAAATTTCCAACTACAAAGGAAAAACCATGCTTTTCTGTTACAGAAAGTCTTACATGGAATAGTGTTATAATAATCGGAGTTTAGTATTATACAGATTGGAGTAAACAAGGTCTGAATTCGTAAGTAGGTAATTTTTAACAACTTCCTGATCTGAAATTAAACTGTGACGCACTCGAGGAGGCACTTGTCCCAGAACATGGCGAGAGCAGCAGCTCAGCTCAGTCGTTGTAGTGGCACCCACCGATTCTGTAGTTAAACTCATTCTCCCCAACCTCATTGTTCAGGAAATTACAGCCAGATCAAATGGACTCTTTAAAACAAAGTTATTTTAAAATTGATTTGGTGGTTACCTACTTAAAAGCAATAGGCTTGGTAAAATAGCAGAGCAGGAGAATTGATTAAATTTACTGAGTCCAATTCCGTGCTATTTATGTACTAGGGTAAGCTCTTGCTCTTTAGTGGACAGCTTCTGAGTACATAACAGTAACCATGTTAATACGTATATATTTAAGTCGTCTTGTTGAACTTACAGCTGTCTATCAGAACTCTAATCTGATGATCTTCAGTTTACATTATAAAACATTGTCCAGTTATATTTAAAATAAAAATGGAGCTCTAAGCGTATCTTAGAGTTGTTATATTAAAATTGTTCCTTTTACTTTCATGTTGTGCACGAGGAGCTTATTTAAGAGGACAATAACTTCAAACCATTTTGACTTTATTTTCTAATATTGTTGGATAGCTTCTGTTTTTAAACATAGAACAAGAAATACAGAAAGTATTAAGTGTACATACAAGAGCACGTTACATAAAATGAAGCTTAGAGATAAAATCAATACATCTAATAATTTAACTCTTAAGTAGCATTGCAGAAGAGGAAGTTCAGTCTTTATTTTCTAAATGGTACCAAGACCTGCTGTTGCTGCAACGATGAAGAGGAAGGAAGCAAAAAGCAGTCTCTGCTTATTTCTGTAGTTTATAGGGCAGTTTACATCAACTCAAAATGTAAGATGAAACATGTCATTCTCAAAATAAGGCATTTACTGTACTTCATCATGCACGTCTGAAATTGTTTCACAAATTATGTAAGCAAATATACATTACTCTAATATTTAGCATATTTTGTCTCTTTAACTGTCCTCTGACAAAATCAGAGAATTTTTTTTTCCAAATCATTCTCTTACCTCACTGCAAGTTTTATCTTTAAAGTTTGCTAGCTGCCGTGGGCAAGCATTTTGTTTCATCAATTACATCTTGAAGTTGAATAGACTCTTTTAAAAGCTTCTTGTTGCTGTGTAATCTATAAAAATAACGGTGTGAACATTAAGGTAGAGGAACTGGTGGCATTTTAAGATCAGTGTCAAAGATTCTATCCCAGGTTAAGCGATAGTAATTAAAAAGATGGGAGACCTGGAGACAGGTCTGCACAAAGAGCCAGTGATGGGGCTGAGCCAGCACAGCAGCTACTGGGCACCGCTGGGCACGGACACCTCACTGAATGGTGCTATGTAAACCACCAAACAGCATCATTTTTGGTACATGAATTTGATCTACTTAACAATCCTCAGCATTAAAAGTCTTTTGCTGCAGCAAAGACTGAGGTATTTTTCAGTGGCACAACTGCATGGGAGGAATAATTGTGTAAGGCTAATGAAAGTGATGTAATCAATTTGCAATCACGCTTTCCTGTAAACTTGCTTTTAACTTCACATTTGGTAACTACAGGCATTATATCCAAAAAGCACGTGTCTCCTTCTGCAGACATGACTGACAAGCCCTGTGTGCAATGTGCTTCCAAAACAAACATGACTCAATACCTTTGGGTCGGTAACTCATACAAATGATGAAGAATGGTTTTTGGCAATGTTCCTCAAGTGTATCTTAGAGAAAGCAGCAATTCATATATTGGAGAAACATAATCAAAATTGGGTTTATAAAAATCTGTATGCCGTGTGATAATTGTGCCTTCCTGTAGGATACAGACAGCTACTCAAAGTAGTGGATTACATTACTATACTTAAGCAAATTTGTTATATTAAAAAAATAAACACATTTTTGAAACCTACAGTTTTAGCAGACCAGCGTGTCTTTCAGGGCGAGCACTGTGATAGCTACTTGTGACATAAAGCACGTGAAAGAAGAACAAACTATGTGATTTGCGGAACTTACAAAACCCCCGTTTTGTTTAATTTCACAGTCATGGAATCACAGATGTGGGTAAGTTCACAGCTGGCACAGTGTGAAGTGTATTTTCATTAAGGTTCTCAGCAGAAGTTGCCAAAGTCCCCAGATCCTAAGTTGACCCCTGCCAGTAGTTACAAACCTCTCGGTAGGGATCCAGGGATCCTCTTACCTACAGTTTGCTAATTAACCAAGGAAATAATTCACTATTTCTCTCTGTTTCACATCAGTTTACTTAAAATAGAAACTATTTCATGCTGAGCTATGGCACGATATATTTGGCTTCTGAAAGGCTGAAGATAGGCTGTGAAAGGCTGTCAAAAAATATCTAAGGGGTTAATTAGGAAAGCGAACAGTCAGAGGAGTAACAAGTGCTACCTGCAAACCTGTGCTGAAAGTGGGTGTGTACCTATCAGACTGCCAGATCGAATGCTACTTGTTTGGAGTTAAAAAATTAAAATAAAATAAAAAACCCACAATGACTGGATACTCAGTATATAATATATTCAGATAAAGTATTTAAAATTCATGGATGACCTAGTCCTCGATTGGCTGAGCCACTTAAAGATCGGATAAGTTAAAGAACAGAGCATTAAGTGCTTGTTGACTGGCTCTACTCCCAAAAGCTCAGCAGACTAGAATTACTTAGTGTTTCATTGTGTCGCAGGTTTCCTTATTCAGAAAAAGTACATTACTCAGCAATTAACTAAGGACTTTATAAGGATTTCTGGAGATTAAGATTAAATAAGGTACTGCAGAAGAAAGTGCTCAATGATCAATGTTTCTAACTCAAAAAATGCAAATACCCTGTTTCATTTCTGTTCGAACTGGCTCACTCCAGCGCTAGTCAGCAACACTGAATGGGACTGCTCGATCAACGAGCTGTTTCTTGTCCCATTCCTGGTGTTACACATTTTCTGAGACTCATTTTTTCTTTCCCTCATGGGATTGATCTGCGCTGCTGAAGTCAGTGAATGTGGATGCTGACTTGGACATAATGTTGAGAAATTACTCCTTTCTCCACCAAAATCACTTGTGAGGAGAATTGCAAAAACTCTTTATCACACACTATCAAAACCCAGTTTGAGTAAGAAATCATGAATTGTCTCGCAATACTGGCAGCTCTCCATAGGCTTAAGTTTGGTGTGAATTTCAGAAAACAGTTTTAGAGGCTGAAGGGTTTGGGGAAGTTTTTTAAACATAAAAGATTTTATACGCATTTAAATTATATATAAGTGTATCATGGTTTATATCTGCACACACGCGCAGAGCAGTCCTCCATGCTGGAAAATCCAGCCTGTTATCTCTAGCAGACCTTAAAAGAGTTGTCAAACGTGATCATGCCAGGCAGTAATTTTTCACAGTTGCAGCACAGTTTGTTAGCTGTATTAAGTGCTAACTGAGTTCATACTCCCTCTGCTAGGCATAAGCCCACCAGAAAAGGAACTATGTAGCTGCCAGAGGGTGAAAACAAGGTTACAAGAGCATCATCCAGAACGAGGAAGGGTTTTTGTCTGTGCTGTGGCGTGTGCACAATAGCCTTTAATTGTCTGGAGAGAAGATCTGCTGAAAAAGGCAGAAATGTTCCCCTCATCTGATGGCTCATGTGAAAATAAACCTAACTGGCAGCACTGCACACTTTGTAGCTATGCTACTGTTATAGTTTATGACATATTACTGAGAAGAGTAATTTCTGAGGGGGAAAATTGTCTTTTTTTAAAAGACAACTGTTTTTTCCAACCCTTTTTTGACCACTTTCGCTACTGAAATATTTCTAAAAGAAGTAATCCAAGACATACTGCACTTAAAATTTATACAGATGTCACATGCACACTGACTCTGAACCTCTTCCAGGGCTTAGTTTCGGAGCATGAGGTGCTACCTCCTGATCAATGGGCAGATGTCATCAGCTGGGGCTGCATGGTGGTGTCACGCGATGCAGAACACCTGCTGCGACCAGGGGTAGGAAGTTAGGAGAAACTTGCATTAATAGCCCTCCTCCCTCCCCTGACCCTGTTCCCCAAACCTCGAGCTCTGAGGTTATGTCCTCACATTTAACCCTTAGGTCCACTCAGCTCGTCTGAGAGAAGGCCATAATGCAAAGCTGTGTTTGAGCTGCAGGCAGCAGGACCAGCAGCCGTTAAGCTGTGCTCCTTCGAGTGCTAGTCCCTCCCCCGTGACAGATCAGCTACCTCAAATGAAAATCATCATCACGCACGATCAAAAGGTTTGACAGGACTCGGGTATGGATTAACAACAGGTACAAAGGAAGCTACTGAAGGGCAAAAAGAAAACAGAAAAAAAAGAGAGCAACTCCAAGGCGGTTCGGTCAGCAAGCGTCAACGCGCACAACGCCAACAGTTAAGTGATTTTAAACACAGCTTGAACAGAACCTCGGTTAAGCTCTGCTTCTTAGTTACCACACCGGCTGGAGAAGGCCTGAGAAGCGCACTACCGGCTTAGCTCTACGCCCGGCGGGGACGCAACCCCCACGCCTCGGGGGTGTGTGTGGGGGGGTGTGTGGGGGTGGGTGAGTGTGTGAAAGAAGAGGCCCGACACTCGGCGTTCAAACGCCTGGGAAAAAACCGCCAGGCCTCGGGCCACCGGAGCCCTCCGGGT